ACAGGTTTTTTAGGCAAACATGATCCAGTTCTTCTCATGCCTCAATGAAGCCTCTAAACTGGGTCAGCTAAGAATCACAGGTCCATTTCAGAACCCTAACCTTAAATAGTCTATGAACCAGAACAGAAGGGACGGTTCTAGCCGTTGGAGAGTTAAATGGAAACATTTAACAGAAGGTTCTGGTAATGTAGACGTAGAACATCACATAGGAATCCTGCTTCTCCTTAGGTTTCCTGTCCTTGAAGCGTCAAATTAAAGTTCTGCAGAGGACCGTCACACTGAGACTAATGGACTCTTAACTTCCGTCTATCGGCAGGGCCTCAGTGTGGAGGCTTTTTAAGTGGGCGTCACATGAAGGCCGGTTAGGGGGAACCAGGACGATAAAAAGCTGGATCGGGTCCGCAGGAGAAATGGGAAAGGTTCTGGTGAACACTGAGCGGGAAAAGGACACAAGTACAAACCCACATCCATCAATCCAACAATTCATCCTGAATACCAAAACAGAGAAGTCTGCTGGTTCCCATTGTGGTTCTGAAGAACCACTTTCTATCAATGGTCTATTAAAATTAAGCCAGCAGTACCTTCTAGATCCAGTGTCCCAGAACCTTCTGCATCTTTTTTAATAATAATAATAATACATTTTATTTAACAGCGCCTTTCTTGACACTCTGATTGGCTCATCAGGGCCTTGTTGCGCCTCCTTCCCCAGAGGCTGCAAACTCCCAACGCAACAGAGTTCTGAGCCTCAAAACGGATAAAAGCAGAACTCCAGAACCAGTTAGAGGGTTAGCCCACCCCAGTCAGAACCAAACCTGATCCAGATTCTCAGGAGAATTAGTATGAAAGTCTTTGGATCATTCATCTAATTCTTATCTTTGCTCTGTTTCTCCTTCACATCATCCTGATTTAAAGTGAAGAACCGCTTGTACCTGGAACAAACTCAAACCGGAACCATGGTTCTGGTGCAGCTGCTGGGATCATTTGGAGTCTTGGACTCAATGATCCAGCTTGATTTCATGACGGCTCATTTGGAATCTTCCCCTCCAGGCTTCGTCTGGTTCCCATCATCTCCTTCATGTTTGATCATGTTTCCTGTTTGACTTTAACAAGCAGGACTAATTTAATGACATTTCCTGGCAAAGAGACACGGTCAGATGCTGCAGATGGTTCTTCTGAGAACTGAATGCAAGACCTTCATGTCTGCATGAAACAAGCAAGGATCAAGTCAAACTAGCAGCTCTGTGGAAAAATAACCTGCACACAGAAGATAATTTGGTGCAAAAGCTAAAACAGTGAAGCAGCGAAGAAATTAAAGTTTGGTTCTGGATTTCAGAGAGCAGAAAAGGGGTCGGTCTGAAAGTCAGGGTCGCTCAACCAGATCAGTCAAATCTCTTTAACATCATATCCCTTCTCCTGTTCATTATGAAAGCTGATCTTTACGTACTTTTTAAAGTATTTGTTGTAGCAGAGCACCTGCTAGACAAGGCCGAATGCAGGTCTTATCTTACTGATGCCTCGGAAGCTGTTTTCCAGTTTGAGATGCTTTGTTAAGAGGATAGATTCCTTTTAAATTAAGGTAATTCCAATAAATCCTTCAGTTTGGGAGAAACTGTATATCTTATCTGTGAGAATCTCTCCTTGTGCTTTTTAAGTACCGGTAGTTAGTAAAAACCTGTGTGACCAGAACAGGCAGCAATATTGGCAACACTGCATCTGTTCTCACCTGCAAGGTATTTAAGAAAAAGCTGAATTGAATAAGGAACACCGGACCTCCAATAATTAAAAATATTTAAAAATGTTTTTACAATTTCAGTATAATTACAGCTCTAAGTGGGTCGCTCTGTGAGCTAAAGGCATGTTTCTATACTCCATTTAACGATTAATCGATTACTAAATTAGTTGTTTCAATAATCGATTAATCACGATTAATTTGATAAATTGTTTTATTCCTAGGCGTAAGTAATCTAGAGTGGGATCCCCCATTTATCCAGGCTGAAACCACCGTACAGGTGTGCATGTTATTAGCTAATTAGTTGTGGATAATGGGTAAAATCTGCATTTCCAACAGAACTGAACAAAAAGCAAAGTTCAAAGAATAATAGTGATAATAGTGATATCAGAAATGTAGTTTTAATTTCTAAAGTGCTTTTTAAGCGAGAAAAAGCTCCAAACTTTTATAGGGAATTAATAACAAATAGCTAAGAACTCAAACTTCTTAAAATAGGGCATAAAATAAAAAGGTGACATGAAAAGTTTTAAAACATTAGTGAACAAACTGGCGGAATTAACCTAAAATGGAATTAAAGGGTTAAAGCAAGACTATGTTTTAAAATCAGATGAAAGGAAGAAAAGTGACTCAATGTGGCTGCAGGATTAAATGGGGCGGTGAAACAACATTCCTTTCCTGAAAAGGCTTCTTCTTTATATGGTAAAGATGAAAAACTTTATATTTTATTCATTTTAACCATCTGAAAACTCTTCCTTCCACTAACCATTGTTTTTTTTTTTCCTACCATTTCATGCATTTCCCCTAAGTGGACCGCTCTCGCCATGCGGGATTCAGACCTGGAAGGGCTGCCACCCCCCATTCATCACACCAGCTCACCAGACATGAGACCACTGCCTGCAGCCTCCTGCCTTCCTCTGCTTTGAGCTGTTTCTAAACACCCCCCCCCCACCACCACCACCCTAAAGAGCTGTGTAAGAACTATGTGGACAAAAAACAGAACAGAGAACAAAGTGCATAAAATGCATTTTCCGTCTCACTGTCTAAAGTGGTGGATTTTTGCACTCATGAATAGGGGTTTTCCTTCCTTCAGGTGTTAAATTCCTGTTAGAAAACACATCTGGCTGCTTATTTACAGGAGATGTACAGTTTGTTTGAGGACCTCCAGTCAGTGCTATGAAAACATGTTATTCTGACACCAACAGCTGTGTGCTTGTTTGTGTTTGCGTACCTAGGCTGAGCCTTCCCTACCATTATCCAAGGAGTCTGCAGGTGAACACAGACGCTCCCACGAGCAGATCAACATTTGGAGAGGTGAGAAGCTTATTCAGCCATTTATTCCTGTTCCTGCCGTCATCGTCGGCCCATTGATCACTGTGTTAATTCATTTAAAAAGGGCATCTTTTCAACATGGAAAAATCCCTAAATAAATAATGATTTTTTTTTTTGTTGTTGCATATTTTTAATTATGCTCGCATGCTGAAAACATTAGGATCTTTGATTTATTCCTGATTGTGAGCAGATCTGACCTTTATACATTTATAGGTTCCACTAAAACAAACTTAGGATAAAAAAATAGATTTTTATTAAATGGAGGTTACATTTATTTTATTGTTTCATGTCTTGGATTTTTTTATGAGAATCTAGATCTTTCAGATTCATTTTAAGGGGACTTTTATTGTGAAATGAAAATGAGAGGTTCTGGTTCTGGTATTGACTAGGTCTGTGTGTGTGTGTCTTTCTTTTTGGGCCAGCAGTGATGTTGTGTTTTTGAGCGTCTCTCCTCTAACAGCTACAGCTGCTGAGGTCTGATGAAGATGGAGCCTCCATCTTACCAACATGGATGTTCATCTGACACGTTTCTCCTCTCTGCTTTGACTGAAACATTTTCATTCTCCCTAAGTAAACATGAAGCCCTTTATTTGACCAGAACCAGAAGCCGGTGCAGTCGGGCCGAGCAGCGAGCTCAGCGTGTTGTTTGGGCTCTGAACCAGTCAGGAGGTAAACACCATCTGGACGTCCCTCCATTCATCACAGCCCGCAGCACAGATCAGGACTAATCCTCAGGTTGGAGATTTAATTAAGATTTCAGCTCAAACACAGACAGAAAATATCAGAGCCTGTCAGGCGGCTGCTGGGAGTTTAGTTTAGAACCGTTAGTTTTGGGTTTAAAGGTTTAAAAAGAATCCTGGATGAAACCTGCAGACAGTAAAACACTAAACAAACCATCTCTGAGCCGCATTACTCCGTTATTTGACTCTAAGTTCTGCTCCTTCAGAACTGACCCAGTAATTTCACATCACTCGGTCCATATTTAAACCATCAAAGACGCCAAATCGTGATCAGATCCAGGCTGAATATTCAGGACCTCATCAACAGAGTTGCAAAGATCAAACATTGATCTCCAGCTGTTGAACACCCCCAAAGGTAAATAAATCCTCTCTGCTTAGAAAAGAAGAAAATCCGACAGTTGAGTCCAAAGTTCTGAGGTTTCGTTCCTGATAAAGTCCAGAACCACTGTGCTGAGCTTTAACATGTAATAAGCCCTAAGCTCTGAATGGCGACAGCCCCAGAGAACGAGCAGCCACAGAGGAAAACATTGATAAACAGGCCCACAGCATTAACCTGTAATCATTGGCTCAGCTGGGAACACCGGGATCAGAATCCGGTTTAATCCAGCTGATCGCTTCCTGCCGGTCCGTCTCAGGAAAGCCATAGAGACACGTGGAAAGAACATAACATCTGTGCGGCTGCTTTTTTCTGTGACTTGATCTGAACTCTGACACATAAAACAAGTTAAACTCTGCCGCCACCTGCTGGCCGATTCCAGACACACATTTTTAATCTGAAAGCAAACAGCTGATAAAACCTGCTGAGGAATTTATGTGTAGACATGACCTAAAGGAAAAATGTATCTGTTCAACTTCCATCATTTCAGTAAAAACATTTTTGAAGGAGACGTAAAGAAGATGAGGGGCAATAAAACATGTCAGGGTCAGTTTACTCTGGTATCAGGGTACCCCAAGTGCCAGACAGAAAAAAGCTACTGCAGTTAGCATTAATTCATACCATCTGCTGCCATCGGGGGGCGCAGCTTGACTGGAGAGCACTAACTGCAGAACCACCCCTCCCTCCTTCACACAGCGCTCCCGTTTTAGCTGAAAAGCCCTGAGTCATGGTGACCAGAGTGACTCTGCGTTTATTTCTCATCTTCAAGATCAGCCAGATGTGAGGCGACTCGTTTATCACATTAAAGTGTGTAGTTGGTACTGACCAGGCCGCTGAGCGAAGGTGCCGACTGCCCTAAAACCTGACTCCTCATCCGCACCAGATTGTTTCCCTCTCCTCCAACTGATGACGGCCATCCGAGGGCCCCAGGGCCTGCAGAGGGCCCCTGTGAGGCCAGCTGGCTCACTCCGGCATGAAGGCTGCATGAAAGCGGCAGGAGCTGCTTCCCTATGAAAACAGGTGGGACAGAGAACCGAGTGAGAACCTCTCTGGAAAGTTCTGATCGTTAGCTTAAACCAGCTCTCCTGGAGCAGCTGGAAAGTTCTGATCGTTAGCTTAAACCAGCTCTCCTGGAGCAGCTGGAAAGTTCTGATCTAAGCTGGATGGCCTCCATTAGGGGAGAAC